TGAACAACTTATATACTTATATACATAGTAATATATATATATATATATATATATACAAATATATATATATATATATGCACGCAAATATATAAATATAATATATATATGTGTATGTATACATATATATATATAATATGTATGTATATCTATATGTGTAGATATATTTATACATATATGTATGTATATCTATATGTGTAGATATATTTATACATATATATATATATTAATATATAAACATATACACGTCATGTTCTTATACATATTAAAATTCATATTCATACATAGACGCATTATATACAGACATGTACACATGTATGTATATATATATAGGTATTAAGGTATATATGTATACGTATATATATATATATATATATATACCATAGCATGTATACAAATCTGAATAGATATATATATATATAAATATGTGTGTGTGTATGTAAGTATGTATATATGTATGTATATACGTATGGAAAATATATGCATACATACGTACATACATATATACATACACCTATATATACATGCATACATATGTTCATGTACATGTACATGTAAATGTACATATATATATATATACATAGACATATATATATATATATATATATATATACATTTATATACACACACATATATATATACATATTATTATTATATATGTATATATTATATATTATACGAGTATTTGAAAAGTTATGTTGAATACAGTTCGAGCGTTATTCTTCTACTGGTAATTGTAACGCGGTGTTTGCAGAACGTATCACTAGTACGTGCATATGCGATTGAATTTAGACTGACGAATACAGACTCCATCACATCGATGAGGTTACTATTGCGGGAGCATGTAACGGTATCTGTAAATCAATTTTTAAATTGTTCTACTACTAGAAATATAGAACAGAACTGTATTTTTAATAATTTTTTATTGCCATTACAGAGCATTGAATCCTTTTCTGACCACATTAACGCCCCTTCCACAACTTTATAGCTGATAACGTACATGTAGTTACTATATATATATACATATATATATATATGTGTGTGTGTGTGCGTATGTGTGTTATATATATATATATATGCGTGTGCGTATGGGAGAGAGTGTGTGTGTATGTATTTAGGTATGTGCTCATGTACAAGAACATGATGAAATCCGAAGGCTCAATTGGCTGTTCTTTTGCTCGTATCTATTATATGTCGAGGGGTTTTGTACCGTTTCCAACAGATGCAGCAAGAAAATAAAGACACTCACTCACTCACACGTGTATATATATATATATATACACATATACAAGACTCGTATATGTTTATTCGTATATTATAAATATAATACATATGTATATGTATGTATTTATGTGTGTGTGCTTTTCGTGCGAGATGGGGTTGACCTCAACATGATTGTTGAACGTAAGGATTATGTGAATGCCAGGTTCGAGTAGGGGGGTTACAAAGTGTTCACAAAATATCGAAAGTTTATTTTTGTCATGGTAATCGACAAACACCCATACTATTATACGTCAGATTCAATACATGATAAGTTTCATACATCGACATATACGCGACTACTATTAATAGGTTCCGACGAGATAGCACATCAAAGGCGTACACGTACTCTGATAATTGTGAAACGTACAGACATACATATAGTGCTCTGTTTGGGTGTTGATGGTGCGTAAGCCTTCTTTTCTAATAAATATTTAGCGGGCTATGTGCACGATTGCATGCACATGTATTCAAATACAGTACACTGCTTTGTCCACACTCCACACTACACTCGCAGTCCACAGGCAAACACATCTAAGGTGTCAATTTGTTGAAAACTCTCTCTTCCTCTTATAGTAAATATATTGTAATATGTATGTCGGCTCCGGTTCTGATACATATGCACACAAATAAAATAAAAGAACCGAGAAATGTGAAATGTCAACAAAAAAAAATGTCCACGAAATATGTCAATGCTTTCCCGAATTTTATCCACCAGTCAATACACGCAGCTATTTTTAGAATAATATACTTTTCGCAAATTGTCTTCACTCTTCAGACGGGGCCAAACTCCAAACTCCAATGAGGGTTTCTATGACTCCGATTTGCACACGACGCACAAGTCAACAACACGCAACGATAGAGAGAGAGAGAGACTTTTATGCGGCGCTGCGAGAGTGTGAGATGCGAGTCTGTGAGAGAGTACCAACTACCAAGAGTACGAGACCCGACTGAGTCGAGTCGAGTACAGTCACTGCACCAGCACCAACAGCCTCATACTTCAGAAGTTCAGTTTACACTCACAAGTCACCCTACCACAGGCCCACAGCCTGCACTCCACAGTCCCATAGTCTCACACAGTCCACAGGTTCTGGGCCGGCCTGGGGGCTGGGGCCTGGGTCGCATTCGTCAGGCTGATACATAGATACCTGACTTCGGTCTTCGGTGTGACTTTCGTGTCGAAAATAGTAGACTTATTCATTTTGTCCACCTCTTTTGTGTGTAGTTTATTTTTTACTCGAGCCGATTGCTCAAGTTCTCGATGTATTCTGGCCGGATATATAGCCCAAGTTTTTGTCTACTGGATCTTTTGTCCTGTTTGATAATTGTTAAGAAATAAAAACATCATCGAAAAAGACAACACAAAAATAACAGACTTTTCACTTTTGACACGATGACACAGCACTCAGCGGGCAGTGTAAGTGTAAAAAAGTACGTAAATTGTCTGTGTGGCTGAAAGTGAAAATATATATATATATATATATACAGTCGTAAACACGCAAGTACACAGCATATTCTCTTTGTTTAGTATAATCTTAAGAGTGCATCATACACGCACACAACCACTCACACACATCATGATTAAGACGATTGTACTGGCTGCTATGGCCGTTGCCGCCGTAGAAGGCACTGTTCTCTTCAAGGAGACGTTCGATGGTACGTATGGTTTGTATGAGCATTGTTTGCATCCCTTATGTTTACGTGAGTATACCCCAATTATATTTTATTTATAACCTTCGCAGACACAACATTGATGTTATATTATAACGCGGTGTTTGTAACAGATGCCAAGTGGCCTTTTCTTTGTCATGCAAAATTGCATTATTCAGTTTATCTTCACTCGTCGCTCATGACACGTAACTGCTCAGCTGCACCTTCAAGCCCGATATGTGTTGGCTCCCGTGCTAATCGACCCAATCCAATACGTTCTTCTCATATTCATTGAATTCAATTTATTATAACTATCCCCCATGTTCAATAGACTCGTACACTGAGCGATGGATTGAGAGCACTGCCAAGGGTGCTGATCAGGGTAAGTTCATCCTATCTGCGGGCAAGCACCACCATGATCCCGAGGCCGACAAGGGCGTCAAGACGAGCGAGGATGGCAAGTTCTATGGCATTTCATCGAAGATTGACACACCCTTCTCCAACAAAGGAAAGGATCTAGTTGTGCAGTTCCAGGCTAAGCACGAGCAAAACATTGACTGTGGTGGTGGTTACATCAAGCTGTATCCCTCTGGTTTGGAACAGACGCAACTGGATGGGGAGACCCCGTACAACATCATGTTTGGCCCTGACATCTGTGGTTCTACCAAGCGTGTGCACGTGATCTTCACCTACAACGGCGAGAATCATCTCAAGAAGGTCGATGTACCCGCCAAGTCAGACGAGTTCGCTCACCTGTACACACTAGTGGTGCACCCCGACAACACTTACGAAGTGCTGATTGACCACGAGTCGGCTGCCAAGGGAGACATTGAAGAAGACTGGGACATCCTGGAGCCCAAGGAGATTGACGACAAGGACGCCGTCAAGCCTGAAGACTGGGACGAGCGTGTCAAGATCCCCGACGAGAGCGATGTCAAACCCGCCAACTACGATGACATCACCGAGTTCATTGTTGACGAGACCGCCGAGAAGCCCGAGGATTGGGACGAGGACGAGGATGGTGAGTGGGAGGCTCCCATGATTGACAACCCCGAGTTCCGTGGACCCTGGGTGCAGAAGACTATCGACAACCCCGACTACAAGGGCAAGTGGGTAAGACCTAAAGTGGCCAACCCCGACTACAAGAAGGATGAGAACCTACACGCTTTCGAAGATAACGCGTTCATTGGGTTTGATCTGTGGCAGGTGAAGAGTGGTACTATCTTCGATAACATTATTGTTACGGATGACCTGGCCGAAGCTGAGGAGTTCGCAAAGGAGACCTTTGATCTACTAAGGGTAGGAGAGAAGAAGATGATTGACGAGGCTATGGCAGAGGTGTGTGGTTTCAAACGTAATTTTTCTTTGTTAGTTGAGTTTCTCAAGGTAGTCATTATGTGGAATGGAGGGTGTATATTTATAGATTCGATGGGATTTAGTATGGCGTTATATATAGGTATAGGTATGATTGATTTGTGGATACGATGTAATGTGGTTTTGTCCTTGTCATTGTCGTCGTTCTATTTTGGTTGTTTGCTTAAGCAGCTGTACAGATATGCCAAGATTTATATGTGGTTTTGTCCTTGCCATTGTCGTTCTATTGTTTTATTTACTAATACAGCAGCATAGGTATGCATAGAGCTTTAGGGTTTATTCAATGTGCCTTGATCGTTGTTGTTCTCCTATTTCGCTTATTTACTTATACAGCAGTAGAGATATGTATCCATATGATTTAATGTGTGTCTTTGTCAAGACAATCTCTATGTGCTATCGACAACTTTTATTGCCACTGCTAATACAAGCCCTACAATTGACGTGTACTATCCGCGCTGAATTTCAGTGCCATTTGCCACGATTCTGTTTTGAGCGTTCTTTTTTTTTCTTCTCATTTTTACTATTATGATCCTGACTAACTCCACAGCTGAAGGCTAAGAATGAGGCCAGCGGAGACGCTGAGGGAGCCGAAGATGAAGAGGTCATTGAAGCTGATGTAGATGTAGATGAGGAGGAGGAACTATAAGTAGTACTTTATCCCATTTCTATAACTTAGCAAGCGAAATGTTGTAATGCGAATGACAAGCATTGGTACCATCTCATGTTCATGTGAATTTTGCTAGAGGTAGATACAACCTTCAGTATTAAAAAAGTCTTCATTATATATTTGTATTTATTCTATTCTATTTTATACTTGTTTGAATATAGATCTATTTTATACTTGTCTACTTTTCTCTATATATATATTTTCTGTACCATTTTATACTTGTCTCAACATATATCTATCCTATACTATTTTATACTTTTCTCAACATATGTCTATCCTATACTATTTTATACTTGTCTCAATATATATCTATCCTATCCTATTTTATACTTATCTGCTTGTCCCAATATATCTACATCTATATAAATCTATATCTATATATACCTATTCTATATTATTTCCTTGTATGTTATGGTAAAGCTCCCCAGTATAATTTTCGTACTGATACCATGTGTAGAAGGTGCAGTATCAAGAAATTTAATGACCTTCTGTTGTGGCTGTCACACAAACATCTATTTATATTGGTATATATGATGTTCTGATATTGGATTTAGCTCCTACTAAAGTGTATGTTATCCATTACGTTGCAAATAAAGGTTCAATGCGGTATCGGACGGAGGGGGCTTATATTTGAGTTACAACAGAAGGTTTATATTCGAATTACAACAGTAGGTTTACATTGGAGTTACAACAGAAGGTTTATGTTGGAGTTACAACAGTAGGTTTGCATTGGAGTTACACAGTAGGTTTATATTCGAATTACAACAGGTCTATATTCGAGTTACAACAGAAGTACGAAACACGGACACACTTCAGAAGTTGATTTACATCGTGAATATTAGCCCAGGCTTACTCATAGCGCGGTCGCGTTAGACCCAGCCCGATGTCTCCAAGGGTATCGCCCATATACGAGCCATAAGGTCATCTCGATTCTTAATACGTTTAATAGCTGATAGGTCCATCACTATACAACTTCGAATCCGTTCCATATGACCAACTTTGTGGCATGAAGTGTAGTCAGCGATGTCTGCTGTGTTCCAGCGATTTATCCATTCCATATGCTGTGACAATCGATGCCATGAGCTTCTTGACGTTCTCTTTCCAAGGGATGGTGTTCTAACGTTTTAGTCTGTCGCCGTTTAGTTCCGTGTTAGAATGTTAAACAATGGCTTCTTACGCAATCCAATTTTTGTTTCAATAAAAGGAACGAGAGGAGCTATGACGCATTGGTGCCGCAGGTTTGCGTAGAAGTCCCCGTTTTCTTTTGCCATCTTGAGCTGGACACAAACTACAAAGCGCCCTGTTAATGTGTAACGACGATACTCGGTGTAATGGTTTTACAAGACAAACTACACAATAATCTGTTTAAATGTGTAACGACGGGATCGATTGTTCTCAAGGCACCACTCATTCTTTGAAAACAACCAAGAAGTCGACTCTTAGAACCAGCTACTTTAAAACTACCGCTGATTTATAGAGATTATATACCACAGTTCGTAAAAGATCACGTACTCTATTGTAAGTATTTTATTTGAGCTTGATGTGCCGTATTCCGACGCCGCTCTGATGCACGTTAGTGTCCTCATATACTTAGCACCTTACCTTGGTATATAGCTCACACCTTGGTCTCTTCATATAGTTATGTAGCACCTTACCCTGATTTATAGCTCACACCTTAGTCTCTTAGAGTTAGCTGGTGCTTAGATGGTCGCGATTTGATGCAGACAGTAATGTCCTGGATGATGTGTGAGTATGCGACCATCGGGCTACCTTGTGCATTTGATATTTCTCATAGTTCGGTACACGTCTTTGTTTTTGTCCGTCATTCAGTCTGCTATTGGAAGCGCCTGGACAGGGCAGGGACCGATTATTTGGGTACATCCTGCAATAAGACGGCCTAAGAAGAGAGCCCATTGTCCCAGAAAGCGCCTATTGTATTTACTTCTTGTACTTCAGAGCGAGGTATGAACACACCCGGTAGAACAGAAAGTAGCCCACCAGCACCAGTATATTGGCCCACACAGGTATCGACAGATCCAGGAAGTCGATGACCTGTGTAATGCAACAACACGGTGAGAAGCTGTTCTATAAATAGTATAAAAAGGTGAGGAATTGTTCTATAAATAGTATACAACGGTGAGGTGCTGTTCTATAAATAGTATTAAACGGTGAGGAGCTGTTCTATAAATAGTATAAAACGATGAGAAGCTGTTCAATAAAATGTATAAAACGGTGAGAAGCTGTTCTATAAATAGTATAAAACAGACCCATTGAGGATGTGTTGCCAAATGCGAAAATGCTTATCCAACCCATAATATAAATGCACACAAAGACAAGCCTATTTCTAGGCCCCATATGACCTATATCTAGGCCCCATTGCGAATGTGTTACCAAATACGAACATGATGCCTATTCAACACAAACTTAACCAACCCATTAAAATACGAACATGCCTATTCAACACAAGCCAAACCAACCTATGCTATAAACGCACACAAAGATAAGCCTATGTCCACACCCAAATGACATATATCTAGGCCCCATTGAGAATGTACCACTAAATACGAACGTGACTAGGTTTGACACGAGCGAATGAAATACGACGATTGCACGCACGTGACTGTCTCGTGATATATTACACACGAGAGAGACTATAACCATACACTCCACATAAGCCAATGAGCAAGACAACGCGCGTAACTGTCTTGTGTTATATTACACACGAGAGAGACTATAACCATACACTCCACATAAGCCAATGAGCCAGACAACGCACGTAACTGTCTTGTGTTATATTACGCACGAGTGACTGTAACCATACACTCCACATATATTACACACGAGAGAGACTGTTACCATACACTCCACATATATTACACACGAGAGAGACTGTTACCATACACTCCACATAGTCTGGTGTGCCAAACAATGTACTTTCTAGTAGGTTTCAGCGTACACACACACCACACACACACACACACACCTCCTCGCCCGTAATAGGGCCATTTGCACAGTTTCCGTAGGCGGAATTCGTCTCCGGCGTTGCGCAGGTGTACGTCTCGCCAAAGAATTCGATCCGCGCCATCGCTCCGTAGGCAAAGTACTACCCCACACAAAACAAACACACACAAAAGAAGCATTGCAGCTGTGAGTGGGTGGGTGGGTGGTAATGTAATATACAAAACAAACCAAATACACACAAAAGAAGCATCACAAAACACACACACACGAAAGAAGCATTGCAGCTGTGAGTGGGTGGGTGGGTGGTGAAGTATATACAAAACAAACCAAACACACACGAAAGAAGCATTGCAGTTGTGAGTAGGTGGGTGGGTGGTGAAGTATATACATAACAAACCAAACACACACAACACACACAAAAGATGCATCACAAAACAAACACACACGAAAGAAGCATTGCAGCGGTGAGTGGGTGATTTGGTGGGTGGTGAAGTATATACAAAACAAACCAAACACACACAAAAGAAGTATCACAAAACAACCACACACGAAAGAAGCATCACACAACAAACACACACGAAAAGAAGCATTGAAGCTGTGAGTGGGTGGGTGGGTGAGTGGTGAAGTATATACATAACAAACCAAACACACACAAAAGAAGCATCACAAAACAAACACACACGAAAGAAGCATCACAAAACAAACACGCACGAAAGAAGCATTGAAGCTGTGAATTGGTGGGTGGGTGGTGAAGTATATACAAAACAAAACAAACACACACAAAAGAAGCATCACAAAACAAACACACACAAAAGAGGCATTGCAATTCAACTGTGAGTGAAGCAGACGCCAAACAAAACATACACCTATGAAAGAATCATTGCAGCTGTGAGTGAGTGGGTGGAATATTATTCTATATAAGGAATACTGTTCTATAAAAGGAATACTATTATATATAAGGAATACTATTCTATATAAGGAATACTATTCTAAATAAGGACTCTGCGCCGTCGTGTGTACACAAACGACAGACCTCGGACATTGCTGACTGAGTAATGCTGAGTTGTTATAGTGGCACGTGTATTTGTGTGCTTACTATACATATCCGTACACAACTATACCACCAGACTGATGCATGCACAGCAACACACATGCATGTGTGCACATCTACACGCATACATGTGCGCACATCTACACACATACATGTGCGCACATCTACACACATACATGTGTGCACATCTACACACATACTTGTGTGCACATCTGCACACATACATGTGTGCACATCTACACGCATACATGTGTGCACATCCACACACCTACATGCGTACCTATCACAATCCACAACACTGCTGCATGCATCCCAGCGAAACAGACACACTCACAGAAGTAGCTACATACACACACACACAAGTACCTACATACACACACACACAAGTACCTACATATACACACACACAAGTAGCTACATACACACACACACAAGTAGCTACATACACACACAGAGAAGTAGCTACATACATACACGCACAAGTAGCTACATGCATGCACACACAAGTAGCTACATACATCCACACAGAAGTAACTACATACACCACACACAAGTAGCTACATACACACACACAGAAGTAGCAACATACACCCACACAAGTAGCTACATACACCCACACAGAACCCTAAACCCTAAAACACAAGTAGCTGCATACACCCACACAGAACCCTAAACCCTAAAACACAAGTAGCTGCATACCACAAAGCTAAGATACCGGGCCCACAAAAGCCAATCCGGGAGAGACTCCTGGGCGTAAAAGCCCGCCAAAAGCATCATGGACAGCAACGTCACCGAACCCGTTACTATAGCGTTGCGTGGGTTGTGGATGGTTGCACCCAGAGCCAGGCCAAGACTTTGAGCCGTTAACGCCGTTAATAACAGAATGGCTAAGGACTGGAAGTAGCGGCCGATGTCTCCCAGTGCTGTGTAGGTAGGTGGTGTGTAGGTAGGTGGTGCATAGGTAGTAAGGAGTGATTGTATGTCTAGTAGGTAGGTAGTATATAGTTAGTAGGAAGCGATTGTGTGTGTAGTAGGTAGGTGGTGTGTAGGTAGGTGGTGTGTAGGTAGGTGGTGTATAGTTAGTAAGGAATGATTGTGTGAGTAGTAGGTAGGTGGTATATAGTTAGTAGGAAATGATTGTGTGTGTAGTAGGTAGGTGGTGTGTAGGTAGGTGGTGTTTAGTTACTAAGGAGTGATTGTGTGTGTAGTAGGTAGGTGGTGTATAGGTAGTAAGGAGTGTGTGTGTGTGTAGTTGATAGGTGGTATATAGTTAGTAGGAAGTGATTGTGTGTGTAGTAGGTAGGTGGTGTTTTGTTAGCAAGGAGTGATTGTGTGTGTAGTAGGTAGGTGGTGTATAGTTACTAAGGAGTGATTGTGTGTGTAGTAGGTAGGTGGTGATAGTTACTAAGGAGTGATTGTGTGTGTAGTAGGTAGGTGGTGTAGAGTGAGTATGGAGTGATTGTGTTTGTAGTAGGTAGGTGGTGTATAGTGAGTAAGGAGTGATTGTGTGTGTAGTAGGTAGGTGGTGTGTAGGTAGGTAGTGTATAGTTTCTAAGGAGTGATTGTGTGTGTAGTAGGTAGGTGATGTATAGTTAGGAGTGATTGTGTGTGTATAGTTGATGGTTATAACACTACTTAGAATACAAAATAGCACACACACACACACACACACACACACACGCGCGCGCGCGCGCACACTACAGCTTACCTGTCATAGGATACACTATAGTCAGGAACAGTGTGGGCAGCAGCAGTACTAAGGGGGTCTCAGAGATGGACTTGGCCATGAAGTACGCCGACACTTGGTACGAACCGGCACTACGCTCTTTGCTGATGATCACTCGCTCCACAAAATATGTGTTGATGGATAAGATCATAGGCGAAAAGCACCAGAACACCACTATGAAGAAGAGCAGTCCATATCTGTAAGTGTGGGTAGGTAGTTATCTTATAACTGTATGTATAAGTAGGTAGGTGTATTATATCTGTAAGTGTAGGTAGGTAGATGTATTATATCTGTAAGTGTAGGTAGGTAGGTGTATTATCCTTACGATGGTTTACACAGTATGTGTTGATGGATAAGATCATGGGCGAAAAGCACCAGAACACCACTATGAAGAAGAGCAGTCCATATCTGTAAGTGTAGGTAGGTAGGTATATTGTCTTATATCTGTAGGTGTAGGTATGTAGATATATTATCTTTACGATAAGTTGCCGATGATCACTCGCTCTACAAAGTATGTGATAATAAATAGGATCATCATCGAGAAGCACCATACCTAAACCACTCGCCAATACGTTCGCTACACCAAGCCAAGCACCCATAGCCTCAAACCAACGATAACATCTGCCCTAACAAACACCACTGCGTATACAAGACAACACCGCACACAGCCCTAAACCCCTCATCCTCAGCCTACAGACACACCACACACCCACCGAGATACACGCTAAGCGCTATGTGCACGTTAAAACGTACAGACACACCACACACCCACCGAGATACACGCTAAACGTTATGTACACGTTAACGTTATGTGTACGTTAAACCCTTCAGCACACACACCTATCCCCAATTGTGGCCTCGTCGTTGTCGAGTTGAAACCACAGCAGACCTATGACCACAGCCAACACCAGACTCTGGATGAAGTTAATAGGCGCCAGGATCTCTGACAGATTCTGTTTCCACGAACGCATGGTCAGCACAGCCAGTTGCTGGTACCACGGGACGGGCCAACGGCCATTCTTAAAGTCAGCCTGAGGGTGTTGGGTTGGGTTGGGTTGGGTGGGTAGGGGTGTGGAGGGTGAGTGTGAGCGGTTGGGTGGGTGGGGTGTGTATGTGTTATTAGGTGTGTATACGTGTGTGTGCGATGTACACATCTATAAATAGGCATGTGCGGAATGTATACATGTATAAATATATGTGTGTGATATACACGTCTATAAACACGTATGTGTGTAATATATACATTTATGAATACTTTTGTGTGTACACACATAGGCTGAGGGTTGGCGGGGCTATACTGGTACTCGAGAAGACTTCATTCCGGAACGCATAGTCACAACGACCACCTACTGACCCTCATGGCCTCAACAACCAATCAATCTCGAGAACCTAAAACCCTAAACCTAAACCGTCTAACACCCTAAACCTTAAACAGTGTAAACCCCTAAAACCTAAACAGTATGGGTCAGCGAAGCAAAGCCTACCGGTGGTATGAGAGCAAACTTCATGGGTGGATATATGAGACGAACGTACTACTTAAGAAATAAGCAGCACGTATATTCAACTGCATAACTACAAGTACACACTTACGTAAGTAATAAGCAGCACGTATATTCAAATACCTACGTACAAGTACACACTTACGTAAGTAATAAGCAGCACGTATATTCAAATACCTACCTACAAGTACACACTTACGTAAGTAATAAGCAGCATGTATATTCAACTACCTACCTACACAGACATGATGGTTTCTACTGACCTACGCAAAACCCATAGTGCAGGTGTAAAAACAAATCCAAAATACATTGAACATCTAGATGGTACTGCCAACAAAGTCCCCATGTGTTAGTTGCCCTTCACAATATACATACGGACACTCCACTTCAGACCATACACTACACTACAGACCATACACTACACTACACTACACTACAGACCATACACTACACTACACTACACTACAGACCATACACTACATTACACTACACTACATTACACAAGGGACCTGATTCCGAAGCACTTGCCCATACCCAACCCACGAATGGATTTGCCGCACTGATAGACACGCACGCCTACCATTCAATAGCACTTCATCCGGACCGTGTCTTATCTACAGTATACGTATTCAGAAAAATGTATTGCTTACGTTTCCTTGACTTGACTTACGTTTTCTCTGCTGCTCTGTGCCACATCCGCTGCCCTGGCGCGGTGGCCCTCACCAATGGCACTAGAAATCCGCCTGCGGTTGCCATCGCTATCTGTCATTCGCACAGCCCACAAATCCTATGCATAACGTTTAACGGGTGTTATAACAGCCCACAAATTATAACTTAGTTACAAATAAACGCTATTTTTAAACACGTGTGTGGTTGGTTATACGTATCCCGATTCGTGGCCTACTTGCGCACACCCATGATGATATCTCAGTAACCAGACTACGTATACGCTATTTGTACACACGTTTGTGTTGGGTTGTATAGATATACGCTATTTGTACACACGTGTGTGTTGGGCTGAGATATAGGCTATTTGTACACACGTGTGTGTTGGGTTGTATAGATATAGGCTATTTGTACACACGTGTGTGTTGGGTTGTATAGGTATACGCTATTTGTACACACCTGTGTGTTGGGTTGTATAGATATACGCTATTTGTACACACGTGTGTGTTGGGCTGAGATATAGGCTATTTGTACACACTGTGTGGTGTTGGGTTGTATAGATATAGGCTATTTGTACACACGTGTGTGTTGGGTTGTATAAATATGCGCTATTTGTACACACGTGTGTGTTGGGTTATATAGATATACGCTATTGTGGGTTGTATATATATACGCTATTTGTACAAGCGTGTGTGGTGGGTTGTATAGATATACGCTATTTGTACACACTTGTGGTGGGTTGTATATGCATCCGTATTCGTTGACCTACTTGTAACTTGGTTGCCGATGCTTTGTCCTCCACAAGCACCTCTAAGAAGAAGTCGGCTGGGTTGTAGTGAACGTCGCAACGCAAGCCGTTACTCTCGAAATACGCCAGACTCTGCACGTATGCGTTAGAATTAAAACATGGGAATTAACGTAATGTTAAGGCTCTGTATGGTATATGGCGTATGCGTACTTACAGGGCTAATGTCATTGGTGTGTACGTGTAGGTACACGCAGCGTAGGTACAAATATCTGCGGTGGCACTATGGGGGCCGGAATAGGCCGCTGTGCACAGAAGACCCATTTGAGATGCCAAGAGTAATTGGTAGACGCATACAATGGCGAGCTGACCAAGGTGTCGTATCACCGATCAGTGTATTGATCGACATTATATTCGAATGACACTCTCATATCACATTATATGCACAATATACCGGTTATTTACAATACATAAATATAATAACAGTATCG